AGGTTTTGTCTAAAGGCAATCTCTTTGAAATATAAGAGAGAGAAGTGAGTAGAGAGACATGGGGACCACATACCACCAAGAAACAAGATCCAGGAGAATAATGCATCCTTTGGATCTGGGGTCACTGTGCTGAGAAGCTCCTCAGCTGGGGAAGATTGATGACAATGACCTTCCCCCAGAGCCAACAGAAAGAGAAAGCCTTTCCCTGGAGCTGCACTCTGAATTTGGACTTCTAGCCTCTTAGACTGTGAGAGAATAAATTTCTCTTTGTTAAAGCCATTCATTTGTGGTATTTCTGTTATAGAGCACTAGATGACTAAAACAGTTATTGTTTGATTATTTCTGCATTCTACTGGATCACCTTTCTTTGGAATGGGCATAAATATGGATATCTATAGGGTCACTATGAGTTGGAATCAACTTGATGGCAATGGATTTGGGTTTTGGTCCAGTCAGTTGGCCAGGTAGCTGTCTTCCTATTTCTTGGCACAGGTGAATGAGTACTTCCATTGTTGCATCCGTTTGTTGAAACATCTCAATTGATATTCTGTCAATTCCTGGAGCCTTGTTCTTCACCAATGCCTTCAGTGCAGCTTGGACCTCTTCCTTCAGTACCATGGTTCCTGATCATATGCTACCTCCTGAAATGGTTGAATGTTGACCAGTTCTTTTTGATATAGTGACTCTGTGCATTCCTTCCATCTTCTTTTGATGCTTCCTGCATCATTCAATATTTTGCCCATAGAATCCCTCAATATTGCAACTTGAGGCTTGAATTTTTTCTTCACCTCTTTCAGCCTGAGAAATGCTGAGCATGTTCTTCCCTTTTGGTTCTGACTCCAGGTCTTTGCACATTTCATTATAATACTTTACTTTGTCCGAGCAGCCCTTTGAAATCTTCTGTTCAGCTCTTTTACTTTATCAGCTTAACCCATTACCGTCGAGTCGATGCCGACTCATAGCAACCCTAAAGGACAGAGTAGAACTGCCCCGTGGGGTTTCCAAGGAGCACCTGGTGGATTCGAACTGCTGACCTTTTGGTTAGCAGCCATAGCTCTTAACCACTGCACCAGCAGGGTTTCCTTCATCAACTTAAGGGGATCAATATAGTCATTTAAGAAATGTAGAACTTTCTATTTATGACAGAGTTACCGTATTGTCCCCTCAGATCCAAAAATAACACAATTTCTCAGTGAAAAATTATGACACAATATTAGCTTCCTGTACTTCGTAAGCCATATATTTAAAAATTGCTTTAATATGCCATCTTGGTCCTGAAAAACAAAAACAAAAACAAGGGCTCAAATAATTATTTTGAATTCCTGAGCATGTACTATATGCCAGTCACCACACTGGCTTCTTTGCATAGTTCTCCTATTTAAAATTCTTATCTATGAAGTAGATATTATTAATCACATTATCCAGATGGTAAAACTGAGGCTCAGAGACTTGAATAAATCAGACAGTATAATGTGTCACAAACCGAATTAGAATTCCAGATCTGACTGAAAATCCTTTGTTTATTTCATACATGATACTATTTTCCTCTTATCTCTGGTCTGCTTGATCAAAAAACATAACAAGTAGCAGGATTTTCTTGTTGTGCAGTGAGAAAGAAAGAATTCAATTTACTGTTTTACCTCTGTTGACTATGACCATTAAGATAATTGTCTCTGCAGAAGATCTTTGAATAGGATACTCAAAGAACCCTAGGAATAGAGAGTTAAAATATCTTTCCTGATCTTAAAGTCACTGAGAGGAAATATCTTATTCAATTGATTCATGCTACAGTAGCTTTACAATGTACTGTAAGACAGGTCTGAAATAGTATTTTAAAATAACTCAGTCCATTTCCATAAAATTAGTAGATGCTAATACTGCAACCAGACTTGAAAAAGGAAATACCTAAATCGGCCAGACGCCTGACTCCTGACGACCCCCCGCACCCCCTTGCACACGGGGAGCTACCCAGTCGTGTGCCATCCCCACGTCTGGTTGCAGATTGGATGGTTGTGATCCGCAGGGTTTTCATCGCAGACCTTTCTTTCTACTCCGTCTTAGTCTGGAAGCTCCACTGAAATTTGTTCAGCGTCAGCCCTCTACTGACAGATGGGTAGTGTCTGTACATGAGGTACATTGGCCAGGTTTATCCATTCTCCCACATGGAAGGTGAGAATTCTACCACACTGAACCACCAATGCTCCTAAAATACTACCTTATACAAAAAACAAAACAAAAAACCCAAACCCATTGCTGTCGAGTTGATTCTGACTCATAGAGACCCTATAGGACAGAGTAGAACTGCCCCATAAGGTTTCTAAGGAGCGGCTGGAGGATTCAAACTGCCAATCTTTTGGTTAGCAGCCGAGCTCTTAACCATTGTGCGACCAGGGCTCCAAATATTACCTTACCTACTATTATTTATTATTTCCCAACTGTCTTGCTTGTCTAGTGTTGCTATAACAGAAATACCACAAGTGGATGGCTTTAAACAAACATAAATTTATTCTGTCCAGTCTAGGAGGCTAGAAGTCCAACTTCAAGATGCCAGCTCCAGGGGAAGGCTTTCTGTCTTTGTCAGCTCTAGTGGAAGGTCCTTGTCATCGATCTTCCCCTGGACTAGTGGTGTCTCAGCGCAGGGAGCCTGGGTCCAAAGGATACACCCTTCTCCCAGCACTTCTTTCTTAGTGGTATGAGGTCCCCATGGCTCTCTGCTGGCTTCTCTCTTTTATATCCCAAGAGACTGGCTCAAGACAAAACCCAGTCGTGTAGACTGAGTCCCGCCTCATCAACCTAACTGCCGCTAATCCCATCTCATCTACATCACAGAGACAGGATTTACAACATGTAGGAAAATCCCAACAGATGACAAAACGGTGGATAATCACACAATACTGGAAATCATGGCCTAGCCAAGTTGATACACATTTTGGGGGGACACAATTCAATCCATAACACCAACAATTGGTTGAGCTACATGTATTATTGTTTGCTTTATGGGCCTGTCTAATCTTTGGCCGGAGGAGGAACCTCAGGAGTGACTTCGGTAGAGTTAAAAGGGCGTCTGGAGGCCATACTCTCTGGGTTTCTCCAGTCTCTGTCAGACCAGTAAGTCTGGTCTTTTTTTGTGAGTTTGGATTTTGTTCTACATTTTTCTCCAGCTCTGTCCAGGACCCTCCATTGTGATCCTTGTCAGAGCAGTCAGTGGTGATAGCCGGGCACCGTCTAGTTGTACTGGACTCAGTCTGGTGGAGGCTGTGGTACTCGTGGTCCATTAGTCCTTGGGCTTATCTTTCCCTGTGTCTTTGGTTTTCTTCATTCTCCCTTGCTCCAGATGGGTTGGGACCAGTGGAGTATGTTAGATGGCCACTCAAAAGCTTTTAAGACTCCAAACTTTTGGCTACTCACCAAAGTAGGATGTAGAACACTTTCTTTCTAAACTATGTTATGCCAGTTGAGCTAGATGTTCCCCAAGACCATGGTCCCCAGCCCTCAGTCCAGTAATTCAGTCCCTCAGGGAGTTTCAACCATTGTACTCTTGATGTTAGCTATGATTTACACATAGTCAGAATTTTCAGGGAAAGAACTTATTACAGAGCATTCAAGCTTTAAGGGTACTTAATGTTTAAATTAGCCTTGTGACACTTAGCATGTCACATAACCACTTTGTGTTATTGTATAAAAGAAGGGAAGGAGACTAGATGCTCTAAGGCATCTGGCAGTTCTAAAATTCTGTTTCAATTGCTTATGTGGTATAGAGTTTTTGGTGGTAGTTTTGCTGACCAGGTTACAGATAACATTCTTTAGTTGTCATTTTGGCTTTGTTTGTATTCTTGTTAAAGATATTTTCGTCTCAAATTTCTTCCTTTAGTAGTATTACAACAATATCTTGTTTCCTTTTAAAATTATAAAATAAATAAATGCTCGTGGAAAAAAATTCCAACAGTACAGAAAGGGGACAAGTGAAAATTTCTTCACTGTACTTCTGTTTCTATTCCCCGTACAAAACCACTATTGTTTCGTTTATCCTAGAAAGTGTCTATGCAGAACCAAGCATATGCATATATTTTTAAACCACAAATGGGCTCATAGTATAACACTGCTTTTTAAAACTTAAACAGCACTATTCATTCAAATGGTCTAACAGAAAGATGAAGATTTTCACCGTTACAACATTAATATTTTGGCTCTACACGCTACAGAATTCTAGAACTGATGTAATTGGAAAGTATAGGGGAAAAAAAAAAAAAGCCCTTCTGGGTGAAGTTGTTATTGTTAGGTGCTGTCCAGTTGGTTCTTACTCATAGCGACCCCATGTACAACAGAATGAAACAGCGCTCCGCCCTGTGCCATCCTCACAATCGTCGCTACGTTTGAGCCCACTGTTGCAGCCACTGTGTCAGTCCATCTCGTTCAGGGTCTTCCTTTTGGTAAAGAGACAAGCTTTAAAAATTGCTTCGGAAATGTTTGTGAAATCACTGCATTTTCCAACGCCCAAGACTTGGCAGGTCTGAGGGCAGCTGATGTTGCGGATCCAGGGCACTGTCCGCCCGTCCCCTCTCCCTTAGCAGGATCCGTTTGCAGAGCTAACGGATAGACGCTCTCCGGGAGCGCTCTGCCTGGAGCCTCCTTCCCACATGTGCAGGCAAGAGGACGTCAGAGGCGGCGGCCGTCAGGTTCCAGACGTTGGGCGTTGGCACGAGGACGGGCCAGCCGAGCGCGACTCCCGCCTACGTTCCCGGAGGGCGCTCGGAGCGGGTCACGTGGCCTCTCTGGAATGCCGGGGACTCCGGGGCGGGGCGGGCGCCTAGCGGGCTCTGCCGGCCTCCCGGCTGGTCAGCTCAGACTGCAACCGAGAAACAGGCAGGTGAAGCGACCAATGGGCTCTCGGGACGGTCCCAGCCCCGCCAATCACAGAGTCCTGAGGTAGGAAGGGCCGCCCATTTCGTCTGGCTGCATCCCAAGCTGCATCCTAAGTCCAGCAGCCGGTAACTGAGGCTGCGGCCGCGGTGGCGCTGCGGGGCGGAGGCGCGGGAGGCTCGGGCAGTCCCGGGAAGGGGTCGGACGGCCTCGGGGACTGGAGCGGCCGCGCCCACGGGCTCTGATGGTGAGTGCCGGGACTTTCGGAGGACCGGAGCCGCCTGACCAAGTGCAGGGAGACGCAGTGACGTGGCCGGCTCACGGGGCGGACTGGGGTGGGAGAGGACCGGGCTTTGCAAGGAAAGTATCCGAAATCCTGTTTAAGTGTTTGCACTTCGGCCCCACATCGCCCCGACACACAGTTGAGTCTCACAAGCGCTCACGTTGCAGGCTGCCTCCCTGGGGTCTTGCCGGGTTGTGAAGTTACACTTCTGTGGAGTGTGCGCTCCCATCCCGCACAAACGGTGCGAATAACGTGGGGACGAAGGGGCCCCGCCACAGCCCTCCATTGTTCTTCGTCGGCGCCCCTCAGGCGAGTGTCCCGAGCACATCCTCCAGTCTGGGGCGCAGCTCGGAATCTCAAGTGGTGCTTGCAATGCCTTGTTGAAACCTGTAAATCACTGAAGTTGCAGGAGGAGTTATAAGTTGAAGTTTTTATGTGAGGACCAGTAATTTATATTTTCCTGGGAAGACAAAAATACTTGGCGTGCTTTTGGATGAAGACAATTACTACTTGGAAACAAAACAAGTTGGTATGTCTTTTCCCTCGTACCCCAGGGGTCATCCTTGCAGAAGAAACTGAACTAGATCTGGGAGCTGATTGGCTAGCAGGTGCCTTATTTATCCCCACTTGGGACCCTAATTTTCCCCTCTGTGAAACCCTAAGTTAGAGCAAGGTTCTGAATAAATGGGATTTAATCGGATGTCAGAATTCTTTGAGAAAGCATCAGATGTACTCGGCGCAATCTAAAATTAAGTTACTAACTTTTGCTAGTAATTCTCATTACTCAAAACACAGTGAGCTTTTATTCTTTTCTTTAGTAGAGTCACAAGGTATAAGTAACTGTCAGTAGTTTAGATTTTGCGGAAAAGTTAATTTCTCTACAGTTAGAACATTGCGAGGGATAACATTTTCACAGCTCATTTATTGCTTAGAAAGTATATTTTGAACATCTGTTTTGTAGGAAATGACTTTTATTAGGCATGAAAGATGGTAATTGAGGTTTACTCGTTGTATGTGTTGAAAAGTATAATTTGCTGCTGTAGCTGTAACAGCATTTATTTGATTACCTGTAGAATATGATTTAGTGATCAATATCTGCAGTATGTATATAGTAACTTTTTATAATCAGGGGTAGATTTCTTATCAATAAGAAAAGTCATTCACATAAGGTGCTATTTTGTAATTGATTAATCTCTTCATACAGGCCAGTTCTTATCAAGGGCTATAGAAAATTAGGGATGAGGTAAAATTCAAGTGACTTTTTTATCTCTTAAAAGTTAATGCCTAACTTTCTAGTTTTACTAAATTAGTTATTGTGACATTTTGACATGCCATGTTTTCTGTGCAGTTTTTTGTGGTAAAGTTAGAAGAAAATTCTGGAAATTCTTTTAGATAGGGACATTTTATTTTGGTGGTGTGAAAGGGCTTGGAGCTAGGAAGCCTATGTCGAGTTCTGATACTGTTCGCCTGAGTGAAGTCATCTTCCTGAACTTCAGTTTTCGGACGTAAACTAGTTGGAAGGCAGTATGTATGGAAATGCTTTTTAAACTAAAAATGTCCTGCGTAGATTAGAGCAAAATAAAAATGCAGTAATTATGGCTATATTATTTGGTAAATAATAATTTAAAAATTGTAATAAAAAAATAAGAAACCCCTGTTGTATGATACATTATTCTTTTATATCACAATGCATAATAGAAAGGACACAATGAAAAAATTAGATCTCAAGATATTCAGAGTATAAAACCAAACCCAACCCATTGCCTTCGAGTTGATTCCGACTCATACCAACCCTACAGGACAGAGTGGAACTGCCCCATAGGGTTTCCAGGGGGTGGCTGGTGGATTTCAACTGCTGAGCTTTTGGTGAGCAGCAGAGTTCTTAACCACTGTTTAATTCATATGTTATTTATATTTTCCATGGGTAGAAAGGTAAGTGGAATGTACTAAAAGAGACGGGAAATGAAGGTGTTAAACATGTATTTGGTAGAATTACAGCCCTCTCAGTTAACCAAGCTTCCGGATGTGTAATTTCAGAAGCTTTTGGAATAACGAAGCAGAAGATTCTGGAGAGATTTGCCATAGAAAGTTGTGTCCTGGGTTTAGATAAACTCGACAAGAATCTGAGATAAGAGCAGAAGAGCAGCCTGGGCCAGTGAGGAAATTCTACTGGGGGGTGTGGGGCATGTGTGAGCAAGGGGTGGCCTTTAAAAGGGAAGTGGCAGGGTGGAGTCTCCAGTCTGATGTGCGCAGGGAGTGGGACCCTGCAAAGCTCAGCTCAGGATGGAGATTGTTGCAGCAGCCCTGAAGTCTCCCTGCCTGGAGAAAGTGTTACATTTGAGAACAGATAAGGTAGAGGTGGGGAGTTGGGAAATGACCTTATCTTCTGTGACCACCTGCCCCACCCTTAACACTCATATGCACACACCCGTTACCATCGAGTTGATTCCGAACTGCCCTATAGGCTTTCCAAGGAGCGGCTGGTGGACTTCGTTATCAGCTGATCTCTTAACCACTGCGCCACCAGGGCTCCTAACACTCATACCTTCCCTCTCATTTTCTCTCTCCTTCCCAAGTCTAAGCCAGCCTTTTAAAAGCTGCCAAGTCTAGAAATTTGTTTTTGTTTCTTTATTGTACATGAATTTTTAAAAAATTTAGTTATACAAATGAGCAATCATTAGTACCAGTGTTACTGTTTCCTTCTGTCATTACTGTTTCCTGCCGTTCCTCCTTACATAAAGTAATACATACCCGCTACTAGAAAATGCTATCTCTAGGTTTTTCATATTTTATATCTTTATCAAACAATTTTTAAAAGTTTTTTTAATACTAAAAAATTTTTAGGTTTAAAGGTTTTCTCTTTTGTAAGTTGCCTCCTGATGCTAGAAATTATTTTAAAGTAAAACAGTGTATAAAGCTGTAACAGTAGTATGCTGGCCTTTCTGAAAGGGAGAAATGGAGAAAGTGTTTAAGTGATATAGTTTCTGTGCGCCTGTAGTAATGCATTGCGCTCCCATATGGAAATACGCATGGCTAAGTAAGCATTCTGCAAGAGGTGCTCGTTACCTGGTGCACCCATTCTAAGCACCTAAATCTTGCAATTTTTCTGTTAAGACTCTTGAACTGGAGATTTCATGAAGAAAATGGAACAGTTGAGGATGCCTGAACACACCCTAACTACTGATAACAGTCTGTAGCAAAGAAACTTTCAAAAGCAAGACGTGATTATCCTGAAGGCACGTGCCTTGCTTTATGTTTTAAGGTAATGCTCTTTATTCATGTGGACCAGGTTGCAGGGAGGCAGAACAGGATACTTGGCATGTTGGCTAGCTTTTGGGAAGCAGATACTTAAACAGTTTGATTTCATTTTTTAGAAAACAATGTGGACATCCGCTTTGAAATATAAATACCAAAAGAAAAACCTAAAAGCAAATATATACAGGATTTTTGAACTCCTGTTATCTATCATTGGTATGGATAGTTAAGAGCTGACAGTAGAAGAAAGGTCAAGGAATTATATTTTGATAAAAATGTTCTGTGTAGACTTACTCTTTTATTATTGGTTTTATTTTTCTAAAAGGAGAACAGTAGTTTTGTTTCTGATTTTCATTAATGAACATGAGAAAAATGAATTGAAAGAACAATGTTTATTTATTGCCAGGGATTTTAGCATATCTAGTTCATTGGTGAGGAGCCCTGGTGGTACAGTGGTTAAGCACTCAGCTGCTAACCAAAAGGTCGGCGGTTCAAACCTACCAGCAGAAAGATGTGGCAGTCTGCTTCTGTAAAGATTTACAGCCTTGGAAACCCTGTGGAGCAGTTCTGCCCTGTCCTATAGGGTTGCTATGAGTTGGAATTGACTTGACGGCTACGGGGCTGTAATTCATTGGTTTGTCTATCTAAACAGGTGATGTTTCTACTTTCTTTTCAACAGTAACTTGGAGTAGTGGGAAGACTTATAAGACACTTGCTCAGTGGTCCTTGTTAGAATACCTTTGGGGGCCAGCGTAGACACAACCCATGGAATTCCAGATGTAAAGATAATCTCACTGCAGAATCTCATAGTATGTTTTTTTGTATGAGAAGCACTGACCTATGATGGAAAGAATTTGGTGTGTCTTTTTACTTATTGTGTGTGCATGTCTGTGCCTGGCTGGGTCAGGGGGATAGAACAACTAAGATGTTGCTGAGGCCATCCTGTGGGCTGTGGCTCTGTGTGGGCCTTCCAAGGGCACAGACTGAGCTCCTAGCCCTTGCCAGCTCCCTTGCAAAAGTGATAAGAAAGTTAATTCATGTTTTATTCTCAAACACTTGATTCAGCAGATCTGTGGGAAGCAGCCCATGACTGTGCTGCATTGATTCATGTCCGGCATGTTGCCTGCTCAATCAAAAAAGCTTTGGCTTAATGTCATCGGCGTGGGTAATCTGCAAATTCAGCCGGAGGAAGCACTTCTTACAAAGTGACGTGGAAGAGAGATCCCTGTCTCTCAGAGTTTGTGTCCAGTGTTAGGTGGAACAGCTCACTTTTCAGTTGGAACTAAAATCTGAATTCATGTCGTTGGATTCCAAGTACTGCTGCAGAAGGACACATTTCTCCATTTATGGTCCAGCATCCAGGGCCCGAAATTGAAGAATGTGATGCGGAATGTGCAGCACAGAATAGAAAGCCTGCTGGGACAACTGCGGGCTTTTCTGTGCCTTGAATAACGTTTAGACATGCATTTCCCTTGATGATTTAATAGGAAAGAATGAAAGGTGCAGCATTTTGCCAGATGGCAAAAATATTTGGGAAACTAATCATAGGTAGTTGTAGCCGGGAGAAGTGATTTATGTATCTAATTATGTGCAATCTCTGCAGTAATGCTCTGCCAACAGTAGAAGATTTGCAATCTGGAACTGTCTTTGCTCCCTCTAAAGAGCCACTTCCATCCTCCGTTGCATTTTGTAGGAGAAAGCACTGGCAA